ACACCACGCTGGGGCGGGCCGGGGCTTACGACCAAATGGAACAACTTTTTACCAATCGGAGAATTCACTTTTGCTCCCGCCGAAATTTCCGGAAGCTTTTTCTAAACAGAAAGCGCCCGGAGTTGAAGAAGAGGGGTTGTCACTCCAATTCGCAGAATAGCTCAGTTAGCCACTGAAACATTAGACCTCGGGCGCTTTTTAAGCCTCAACAGGAAAGGCTAATGGGTCCTAGTCATGGGCTTCTGGTAAAGACAGGATCATCATCAACACCAGCACCATCACTTTTATGCTATGTTCACTCTGATACCAAATAGCTTTTCTTGCGATACCAAAACGCTATCCAGAGTAGTGTGAACACCTATCCGATATGTGACTCGCCACTTAAGAGATCAGCGCGGAGCATGCAGCTTCGCTCCGTTACAGAAATCGCGCCGAAATCACCGTTCTAATGTGTGAACAGAAGTGCTATCCAGTATGGTTTTCTTGCACACCCGAAAGCTATCCTGTATAGCCGTGTCAAAATAGCCTAATCCTCGCAGAAAAGCGCTGACTATCCTATCCCCTGATTTGATAATAACTCATTTATTGATAATAAAGTACTCAATCACTACACTCTTAGACCGACCTCGAACTATGTATTATAGAAACCTGCGATCACCTTAAATTGAGGCTAAATAAAACCAAAGGAAAAAAAACCGAGTTCTTACAGAGTCCTTTTGTCAGAGAGGCAAAGGCAAAAAGACCTGTGAACGTCGGATGCTCTTGTGGAAGAAGTGACTCTTTCTTTGCTAATAATACTGAAACGATCGAGTATTTATCCTCTTGATAGAAATTTTATGCTGAATTTTAAGCCTGGTGCATATATGGGAAAGAGGTTTTTTTTTTAGGTCAGTGACACAGGCGACTGGAAAGAAAAAAAACTCCGCCTCAAAGTTAATACCATCACATTTCTATCTTGCGAATAAGCACGTTTCGCAATTCCCGTCTTAGCAGTATGCTGGATGTTTGTGACATGAACCCAGTTTAGTAATACGTAACCTTGACTCCCACCAGTCTCATGCAGCTTAGTGGTAGAGCATCTCGACTAGAAACCAGATGGCTTATATTCCGACTCCTGTTTTGAGTACTCATATTCTGTTGTGTGAGCCGACTGTTTCATTGAGTGAAAAGAACAGTTTCTCATTTATCGTCTTTTGGTCAAGAAGAAATGGAATAAGAATATGAATGACACAAAAGAGTGAGCAAAAATGAGAGACAGAAAACAGCTCACATTAAAAGTTAATAATAACAAATATTTTTCTTAATAATAATTACTATGATTAACTCCGTAAGTCCATTTCCGAGCCACCCTTAACCACTGGAAGCTAGGGAAAGCACACAGTCTGATGCGATAAAACTTTTATTCTTATGCAAATAAACTCATTGAAACATGAAAGGCTTTGCATTTGGCCTAGCTTTGTGGAAAAGACCTTTTGTATGTTAAAAGACTTGGGTACGGCTTGAATGTATAAAGTAATGTATATCACTTAACACCGTGGTGTGGAGGAAACTGCAATCACCAAATGACACAATACAAAAGATTGAAAAGACACTAACACAATTGTAAGTAAAAACACTTGGGTACGACTTAAGTTTATGAAGTAATGTACAGCACTTAACATCACTTTTCGGGGTGTGGAGGATGCAGAACTCAACAAATGACACAATACCAAATTGAAAAACACAAAATACCAAATCGAAAAACACAAAAACGCCAACAATATTGTAAGTTAAAAACACTTGTGTACGTCTTGAGTTTATGAAGTAATGTACATCACTTAACATTAATTGCTGGGATGCGGAGAAACCTGCAATCACTAAATAACACAACGCAAAAGATTGAAAAGACGCTAGCAATTGTTATGTTCTCGGAAAAACAGCTCGAAATAAGACAACTGCACCCAAGATGGCGGATCAACTCAAGGACTGTATTTTGAAGCTGCTAGATCCTTATTTATAATGAAGAATTGAAAGATATATTCCAGGAAAACCAGCATGGTTTTTCATTGATTTGATTGGTTATCATGGGTTATGTAGTTAAATTTTATTGGCTAGTAAAATTTGCTACTTGAATTTCATTGACTGCATGTTTAACTGTCCGATTTGACCTGTCCGATTACAAGCTCTTGGTAAGTTTCTTTTGCCAATTCTTCTTCATAACTTTAAGAATTTCTTGTTTACTAGCCAAATTTAAAAAGGGAGAGTGCAAAGTCTGACACAAAAAGTTCTATTTTTTCCATTTTCATGCAAATAAACTCATAGACACACAAAAGGTTTTGCATTTGGCCTTGTTTTTGCATCGGAAAACCCCCCGCTTTTGTACGTCAAAACACTTGGCTACCTCTTGAGTTTATCAAGTATTGTACATTACTTAAAATTTATTTGGTGTTGGGGGGAACGCTCGATCACCAAAAGACAATACAATCTGAAAGGATACTTAACAACAATGAAAAAAAAGCAACAACAGCAGCTGAGTTGCTGAGTGACCCTTATGGAGAAGAAAATAACATAAAGAAAAAGAAAAGAAAAATATATAAAAACATCTTTCATTTTCCATTTATGCAAGTACGCATCAGTTTGCTGTTTTCTTTAATTTTAAAAGTTAAGACATTCTCTACACACTTATAACAGAGAACTGCCACATATAAACTTATTTGCTATTTTTTCCATTTTCATGCAAATAAACTCATAGACACACAAAAGGTTTTGCATTTGGCCTTGTTTTTGCATCGGA